CCAAAAATGACTAACGTAGAAGTAAAACTGGACAACAGCAAAAACATGGCGTCAATGTTGTGGCAGACAGTTGACGAATATCATCATTTGGCGCTCACAATCCGTTCCTCCTTAATTTCATTGGGGTCATTTAAATCCCCTGCCAAGGCATTTTCTCTATTATACAAATGCATTTTTTTTTTTAGCCTTTTTGTGATTCGCGGACCCATCTTCCGGACAGCACGTCTTGTCAGCACTAGGGCTGCAAACGAGCCGAGCCGAGTCGAGTTTTGAGCTAATCGAGCCGAGGCTCGACTAAATTTTACCAAGCTCGAGCTCGAGCTCGAGCTCGACGAGCCGGCAAATTTCGAGCTCGAGCTCGAGTTCGAAAAAAAAATAAAAAATAATTATTTTATTTTAAAAAAAATAAATAAAATAATATTTTTTTCTTAATAAATAATAAAATATTAAGGATATATACGTAATTTTACTATGAAAATAAAAAATAAAAAAAATATACATATAATATACGTAATTTTATTATTAAATAAAAATAAAAATAAAAAAATATATATATATACCCAAGCTCGCGAGCCGGCTCGCGAGCTAACGAGCTTAATATTCTGAGCTCGAGCTCGAGTTTGACTCGAGCCGGCTCGAGCTCGACTCGAGCTCGATTAATATCGAGCCGCTCGCGAGCGGCTCGATTCGTTTGCAGCCCTAGTCAGCACCACGTCATCAAACTTGGATCAGAGAGTGAATTCGATCCAATTCAAGAGTTAGCAGTCAATGCATTAGATCGATTAAATGAGGTCCAATAAAGTAATGTCATATTTGTGTCGTAATTATATTTTAATTGTATATAAAAATAAAATGGTAAGAAAAAATACCCCTAGACTTGGTATGCTTGTGAGTTTACAAATAATACAAAGACTCCCTTTCACAAAACTATTACTTTTGTCTGTGCAATGAATAGGAAAATATTATCAAATTTTTGAGTAAATTTGTGTCATTTTCAGAAAACTTGGCTTTATGTTTTTGACAATAGATATTAAAAAATTCACCAAAACAAAGTATATAATGATGTTATCGACATATTTAATTGAAGTGTGATTTTTGTTGTGCAATTAACACAAAGATATATTAACATGCTGTGTAATTAACACGTTACTATAACTAGATGTTGGAAGGTATTCCTTTGTCCGAAACAATTTATATCTCATTTTGGATGATTTTCAACTGACATCTGTAGAGGCCTTTTGGGAATAGTAAAATTGTAAAAGTATTGATAAAACAAAATATACAAGTGTGTGTTACAATTAGAATGTATTATTATTAAATTTGTCATATTTGATGACTGTTTCTTTTCAGAATGTATAATTATCTGTTTAATGAAAAATCTTCTTTAACCAGAAGCACCAAACACCCGCTTGATGCACAGTATTCCCCACCTAGTTTTTATTCAAATATTGAATGTTGCATACACGTGACATTGTTACATTGAATTTTTATATACGTATAAATACATTACATATACCTCCTAAACTACAGCCCTATAGTATATAACACTTGTAGGGCTCACTAAGCTAAGTTTTGGAGAAATATAAGTGTGCGATATTGAGTCAAGTGTACCATCAAAAAATGGCTAACATGAGATATATGGCAGGATTTTTCAGAATCATAAGGGACTGTGGCATGAAGCAAATCGTATTTTGGGGATTTATGCAGCTCTGAATATGGATATGCGTAAATTCATTGCAGAACTCAATTTGCTGTTTAGAGTAGTTGAGAATTTGAAAGAGACCCTGGGTTTGTTTGGATAGGGTATTATTTGAAATAATTACTGTAGCACTTTTTGTGATGTAATGTATGTGAGATAAAAAGGTAATTGAAAAGATAAAAAATTGTATTAAAAATTGTAATGATGATGTCAGCAAATATAGTTGACCAAATAATCTACCGTCCAAATAAATGGCGGCTAGGGAGAATGAAGGTGGACCTAACTTGGTAAAAAGCAATTAAGTTTGATGTTGACACACGTACGTGCATTCGGTGAAAAAAGTGACACCACAAGTGGGATGAGGGCCAGGAGCGGTCCTGAGCTGTTCAAGGCTAGATTTTGACAAACAAAAAAAAAAATATGCGGTTCAAATCACTTTTTGTACCTCAACTTTTACAATGTGTGCCGAGTTTACAAAATTTTGTACTAAAGTTATACCGTGTGTAAATAAAATTATACGGTGTGTAAAATGCACAAAATCGTCAGGAATGATTGCACCTGCAACGGTTCTTGCCCGTTGTCCCCACAAGTGTTATGTATGGTGGGCTGTAGTTTAGGAGGTATTTTAACCCAATGGGATTTCAGATTACTCCCACTTGGAGTACCTTTCATGTTTTTTTTTTTTGATGAAAAATGACATTGTGTTTGGATAGGAGATTATTTGAAAAATTATTTGAAATAATTAGTACAACACTTTTTGTGAAATAATGTATGTGAGATAAAAAAATAATTGAAAAAATAAAAAAATGTATTAGAAATTGTGTTTATGATGCAATCAAATAATTTGAAGCCAAACCTTTATCATGTGAACTTCGGCATGGCAACTCCACAACTTTTCAAGCCAGGTTGAACTTGCTTGCTTTGCTTTCCCATCATCAAGCCTTACAAATCTGACACATAAATATGAAGCTTTTCCAAAAGGCCCACTCCAACCCTTGGACCACTTACCCTATCTAGCAGGTTTACCATAAGGTTGGACTTGGTATGTTAAGGGAACCCATGAAGATTTATATGATGATTAAAACTACTCTGATCAGTCTGTGTATACCGCCCAAAAGCTCATGTTCCAAATGCACCATACTTTCTCTTTGAGCGTCTTTAGCTTAATCTTTGTTTAACATCAGTTTGAATGCTGTTGTACTTGGGTAGGAAAAATTAGCAATGGAAGCTGTAAAAGCGTCATATAAATGGCTTTATGTCCATCCTGCATACAACCATAGATAGAATTAGAAAATTTAATTTAAGGAAACGAGGTTCAGCATATCTAAAGTTATGCATACATCAGATAGCAATTTCAAATTTTTGCAGGGACGAAAATTTGAATTTATAAAGAACGTATTTGAAAATTCTCAAATTTTCAAGTACCAAAATAAAACTTGGGGAAGGAGGGGTCGGCGACCTTTTCCCGCCCCTCTCAAATTCTGTCCCTGCATACAACACACACTCTCTTTGTCAATAAATTAGTTGATGAAGTCGTTATCTACTTTGGAGGAAAATAGCAACAACAATTTCTAGGAAAAAAATAATAATTTTTGACGATTTGGGGCAACTGAAACTGCAAGAAAATATTTTGTATATATCAAAACCAAGCTTTACTAGTTGAGGTTGATTTCCACATCAAATATTTTGACCATGAACCCAAAACTTGACCACAAGCACAAAAATGACATGACAAACAAGTAATTTATAGTCCTAGTAAAATTTCTTTGAAGGGCTATCTTTTAGAATTTTCTATCTATGAAAAGGTCTAAAGATGTATTGTTATCAAATTCTACCTAATCTTGTAGTTATATTCTCTAGCTTGATCTTTAAAAAAGAAAAATTTTTTGAAGGGCCATCTTTCAGAATTCTCTATCTATGAAAAGGTCTAAAGACGTGTAGTTATCAAATTCTACCTAACCTTGTAGTTATATTATTTAGCTTGAATCTTGATCTTTTAAAAATTCCTTTTTAAGCAAGAGGATGGTTGAATTTAAGAAGTAGGGAGAAAAAAGAGAAAATCGAACTGAGCACCTCTAATTCCTGAGACTCTAATCTTAGCCGCTGATTTTGACTTTGTTGATCTCAGGTCCCTCTTGCTGCGTCAGTACTTATATCACCACTTTCTCTTTCTTCTGTCTCGATGTTTTCCTTCCGAATACTCTCTGTTTGTACAATCATGACTTGTCCAAATTGAACTACCAAAAAAGGATACCTTTATGAAATACAAATCTCCATGTGTCTTTACCATCTAGTCCTTTTATGAACTACAAGACACCACAATTATCACGAAAAGACGTGAGAAAACCAACAAAATTATGTGGCTTTCAACAACCATCACCTTTTATGATCAATTTTGTAACCTTATTATGTCTTTGAATAATACAACCTTACTCGCACATTAAAAAAAGCGATAATTTTAGAAACCTCTCTTGAGATTTCTAACAATTTTACTTGGTTTCTCTCAGATTTAAGAAATTGTACTTACTTCCCTTGACACAGTAAAATACCTGTAATGTCCTCCACTTAGTAGACAATTTTAAATTTAAGGCAATAAATTTACAAAGTCTAAAAAGGATTCTATTTTTTTTGTCTCTTGTCTATTTTCTAGTTAATATTTAATCTCTTTTTATTATCTTCAGTTTTGTTGATATTAGTAAATTGAAATTACAAAATCTACAAATGGAGTAGATTATATGTCAAATTAGAAGAAAATGAAGAGAATTGTAGTGATAGAAAAAAAAATAATGAAATTGATGATTGAAATAGGAAATTGATGATTGTAGTAGATTATATGTCAATTTGTCATTGTTTGTTGTTAATAAAAACTTTTATAAAATGTCAATAATTACATAATGATTTCTTTCATTGGATTTGAAATTTTTTATTATGATTTTATTGTGGAGATAGAATTTATTCTCTACTTTTGAGATATTAATATTTTTAAGACTATAGAAGAGTTATAATGGTGGTTCTAGATCAAATTAGTTTATATTGAAAAGATATTTGAGCATTAATATTTAATTTGGGAGTATAAAATTGGTTGTCACTGAGATTTTGTGTATATGTTTTTTTATTGTGATAAGTATTGATATTATATATGTAATTTGGAATCTTTTAGATAGCTACTTGATTTTAGAACTTATACTTGGACGGTTGTTAGGTATTTGGCTTGTTGATTTATGCAAAGTGTGGAAGAAAATGATTGAGTGTATATATTTTTCTTTCCTAGTTTTGTACAAAGAGACAATTTAGGATTTTTGAAAGAAAATCTAAATTCTTAGATCTACAATGTTACTAAACAGTAAAAATAGGGGAGATATATGTAATTTTTAAAATTTGAGTGGAGCTTTTTGTAATTGTGAGAAATCTCAGGGGAGGTTTGTGAAATTATCCCTAAAAAAAAACTTTTGTACACAGCTTTCAAGAATTAGAAAATTAACTTTTGTAAAAGAAACTGAAGAGCAAATCATAAAGGGAGCCAAGGTGCCGTTCCTAGCGTGGGTCATGCCCCTAGCATTGAAAAGGGATAATTTCAAAAGCCTCCCTTGAGAATCTTTACATGATTACTCATAGCACCACTGAAATTTAAAAAATATTAATTGCCTCCCATATTTTTAAATTTTTGAAACATTATCGACACAATACAAATTTCTGAACAAGGTAAAAATTATGAGTGGTTGAGAAAGTAATCGTTTTCTATTATTCAAGCAATGGCAGATGCACGTCCTTCATTTGTTGAATCATCGTATTGGCCTAGTAATGGAGCATTTTGGCTGGAAGATGCCCCAAACTCATCACCTTTTTCACAGTCTTCTTTTGCTTTTGCCCATATTAGAGCATAAAACCCTAAAGATATGATCAAGGATCCGATCACACTGCAAATCAGAAAAACATTTGGTAAGCAACCTTATATATGTATATATCATATGTGTGTGTATAAAACAAGGAAGTATTATGTATCAATGTTTTTAAACCTGAACCAGAGAGTGAACCGAAAAACCTTCCTGTCTACGATGCAACCGGTTCGACCACGATTCAAAGGTTTAATAAATTTTTATTCATTTTAATATTAAAAATTTTGAATAAAACTAAAATATTTATTTACAACAATAAATACTTAATAAAAATCGGTTGAACCTCCCGAATTTGACCAGTTCAATCGATTCTTGACTGATTTTGATCGGTTCAATTAATTCTCTGAGTTTTTAATTGAACTAGTCAGGAGGCATGGCCGGTTCACGGTTCAATCAGTCGAACCAGCCCATCCGATCCGATTTTCAAAACATTGTTATGTATATGAATTGGGGGGGGGGGATGGGTCAAGTGAGGTTAGGGGGTCAAGTATTATAAGGTTGATGTATATCTTTTAAAATATGATGTATACTTGTATATATTGTTGTTCTCATAATTTAATTGAATTAGTGTAAACAAATGTCTTTCATGCGAGTGTACACCAAAATATGTTTGAAAAGAAATACAACAATTGCACAATAGCACCAAAATCTAAGATCATGATCAATTGATACGTACCTTCCAAGGTAGAGGTCATCCCCAAGAAAAATGAAGCCCATAATTGCAGCAATGGCAATTGATAATGGCATAAATGAAGCTATATATACAGGTCCTTTTATATGTACGCCCCATGTTTGAATAAGAATACCAAAGCCTGATCCCATTACTCCCTAGAAAAAAAGAAAAATTATTCAGTGCATAGATTACTCCCTAGCTATATGAGCAGTGGGTGAGTGATATAGTTTGAAATTCTAGAAGTACTGAGTATAAATTAGGTCTACATGCTTACCGAATACACTACTGAGTACAGCCGGACATCAGGTTTTAGTATATTCCAAGCACTTGAATTTGTTGCCCCGATTAAACAAGCAGGAGCTGCTAGGATCAAACATGCTAAGTTGTAGAAGAAGACCACAGCTAGCTCTGCTGGGTAATCTGCAATAACCTTGGCCTAGAAACAGTGGCAGAGTCAGGACCCTAAAGTTAATAGGGGAATGTTTTTATTGCAATACACAATAACCAAATGCGATAATTCTTTTATGTAATTAAAAGCTCCATCCAAAAGTATAACAAACTAGAGTGACGGTTGCATTAATTTTACAAAATTATAAGGAGTTTATAGAAATAACTGCATAAGAACTCTTTTCTTTGCAATAGACTAATGTAGTAATAAAAAATGAGTTTGAATTGAGTATTATACGTTCATTCTCATGTAGGAAAAGTAGTCAAAAATCTTATTTTGTTTTGAAATTTTTATCTTTTTCAAAAAGTCGGAAAATAAAAGCAAATGGTTCAAGAATATAAAGGGGCGATGTTAGGGCTATTGATGAGGTTGGGCTAGCTTGAGCCCAACTCGTTCGGCCAAATACAGCTTGTAGAGCCTAAGTTTTAATTAGGTCAAATAGAGTTTGTATCTAAGTATTAGGTCGCAGCTAAATGTGAGTCAAGTTTGTGTCACGTTAGACTAAGGCTCGATTAAGGCCCTATATATATATATAATAACATGTATAATTTATAATTATACATATTATGACATAAAATTATAATAAAATTTATAGTAATTTATAAAATATAAAAAATATATAATTATGCATATAATTATGTACTCGGGCCAAGCTCAATTAGTTCAGCTTGAGCTTTTTGTTGGAACCTGAAACTTAAAAGGCCAAAAATCCAAAAATCGGGTATAATTTATGAGGTTCAGTTCAAAAAGTTCAATTGACACCCCTAGGCAATATGAAGGAAACAAAGAGAGAGAGAGAGAGAGAGATTCAAGGGGTGCAATTGTTGACAAAACTAATGAATTTTCAAAATGTACAAGCCAATTTTGTGTTTTCAATATGTTACCTGAGAAATACACCATAAGCCGACAATTACATATTCAACAGCGAGAAGGGCACCACCTTTGACCCAATCCGAGTGTTTGGTTCCGCCAGTGATGCTAACAAGTGCTGGGTGTTGTGCAAGAACAGAAGCTGAAGATGTAGAGCTCCTTATTAGCACTGGGCCATTGTACAGAACCACCAACAGGGCTCCTGCAATCGTTATTACACTCCCAATTATCTTAACCTGGGTGGTCCAGCTCTTCATTTCTAGCTTTTCCATCCTGATCATGACAATGAATATTGGTCAAGTTCCTCATCTATAATTTGGAAAACAAAAAAGAAAAGAGTTTCAAGTGTTATTATACTTTTAAATCATGGGTTAGAAAAAGTACAGTTACATCAGAAAAGTGTCTAAAAGTAGGTGTCATGAAGCCGAGTTTTTGAGGAACTGTAGCAGAAATTAGGTTGGGTCATGAAGGCAGAAGCACGCTTTCAAGGTACTCGAGTCACGCTTTCCTCTTGGCAACCACGCTTTCAATCTATTTGTTGGTTTTGTAGTTTGTTGGCTGAAGAATCTATTTCGGAACTCATTTGTTAGGCCTGAATTGTTTAACCAAATTTGCAGAGATTGATTTGCTCTCCGAGCTCATTATTTCTTTCCCCTCAAGTTTTCCTTCTTCTTCTTCCTTTGTCACCTTCTTTTTTCCCATTTAATCATCACTGATCTCCTGTAATTTTGATCTATTAATGGAGTTGATTTGAGTTTCCCCAATTTAGTTCACTAAATCCACTCTAGTTCTTTTTTTTTTTTAGTTTTTTTCAAATAGATTTTTTTTTTTAGTGTAAACGGGAGGATTCGAACCTGAGACCTCTGGTTCTGATTACTACTACAACAGTAGAGGAAATAAAGTTTGAGTATTTACATTTAAATAGAAAATTAGGTGCATTAATCCCAATTAGAAAAAACTCTTGATGGAATAATCATTGGTGACTTTAGCATAGAAAATTGATCATCATGTCTCGTTTGCTTTATAGGTGATCATGATGTTTTGCTAAAATCAATGGCTAAATAGATTAAGAAGAAAAATAAGAGAGGACCTGAAGAGGACGGCCAAGATAAATGTGGAAGCCGGGGTAAGGTTGGTCATGGCGGAAGCCAGTGTTGGATTACTATACTCGATTCCGATGTATCCAAGATATTGACCGGAAAAGCTGAAATCAATTCCAAAACAAAATTTTGGTAAGCTCCTTTAAAACAAAGAAGTAAATAAATTATCATGGTTGATATTACTAAGCTTGATAAATGTGTGTATCCACGTATACCCAAGAAACCCGAGGAAGAGAAATCTACCAAGGAGACCAATAGTTAATGGAGGAAGCCGAGATTTCCTGTTAATTAAAGGCAAAAAAAAAAAAAAAAAGAGGAATGAACAAAGGTGCTAGTTTGATTACATAGGAAGAGGGAAATTAAGAAGAAGGCCTGTTATTTAGAATCTTAAATTACCTGTGGGAGTAGCAGCAAAGAGGGAGGAAAAGAAGAGCTGAAATGCAATAGGAATATAGCATGAAAACGTGAAAGTCCAAACCCTTCAATGTGGCTGCTTTGAAGATGATGCTCACACCGACATTGATGCATTGTGTTGCAACCATGGCTGTGAATGGAAATAGCTCTTTATACCAAAATCCTCCTTTCCGGTCGCCCATCTTCCTTTCTTTCCTTCTCTGGATGCAAATGTATATAAATATAACAAGGTGTTATTTATACTTTTTGAGTTTTAGTGGTTCATGCACTAGAGGCCATTATTCTGTTTAATTGTGTATATAGTTTTGTTTTTAGAATAAGAGATGCATCCATCCAATTCCATCAAGTCTTTGTCACACCCAAAATTAGTGTTGGACAGATTAACTGGGAAAAAAAACCCGTCGATCCGAAAAAAGAAATAAAAAACCTACAAGATTCCATTAGATCCGAACTAATTCAAACTGCTTTAATGCTGAGAATAATGTCATAGGATCATCTTGCAATCATGTTGAACATGGTACATTTAGTAAATGACAATGAGTCACGTGCAATTTTTATTTTGGTTCAAAATAATATATAGTATATACAAGTATGGAATAAAGAATTGGTTCATGTCGCGTCCCATTTTTAATTGAACGTATAAAAATAAAATAATGGTTCGAAAATGATTTTGCGGATTTTTTTTTCCAAAATAAAAGTAATGAAAAAGAAAAAGAAGGTAAAGAAAAGGGTCTAATGTGAGACTTGGTAAACGTGAGAGGCTCGGCCTTCAAAAAGTCTAGGAAACGGGTTTTTAATTTAAAAAAAAAAAATTGATGTTTCCGCTTGATATTGAATTTATGGATACTAAATCATCTATAAAAAAATAATTTTCGATTTTTGAAATGTAATTTAACCACCAGTTTGATTCAAGCACAGGGATGGTAATAAGTATAACCCCTCAATGACAATGGATTTTTGAGGGATTTCCTTTGGTGTAAACACATGTTTGATAGTGATTGAATTGCTATAGGAATCAACTTTTTTTTTAAATTTTTTTGTTTTCCTGCATCCTTTGTGTCTCTGCTGTTTCAAGAGAATTCCCAGTTCTCTTCCTCAGTCTACCCCCAAGTCCTTCACCAATTAGTGATGATAGACTAATTTCAAGAAATTCCATGATCATAATTCAAATTTCTCATTCGATTTCATATGATATAACAAATTAAACAAACCAGAACCAGTAGCAAATCGCAACAAATCAACATCAAAACCTCAATAATTCAATATTATCGAAACATTTCTCTTCATGTTATGTATGCACCTCAATTCATGGTCAATCAGCATAACAAAAGAAGCCCCCTGAGTGCAAATCATTCTTAGCCATTAAACAAAGAAATCACGGCAGCAAGAATTAGACATAGTTGACTACAAGCGTTTTGGATCTACTACAATTTTGAATGCAAATCACTAGTCAAAAGAAATCCGTCATGGCAGCAGATTTGCCTTCTTCTGTTTCGAAAATGGATTGAGAGAAGAGCAAGAGCAGTGATGGAGAGAGAGGGGAGTGAAGAGTACATGGTGGAAGGAGAGGAGGGAAAAAGAAGAGAAGGGAGAGGGGCCAAAGGAGGAAGAGAAAGATGAAGGTGAAGAAGATGATGAACAGTCAAGTTGGTTGGTCTGCTGCTCTGGACGTGGAGCTTTGTTTCCTTTTCAATTTCTATCTTTCTTTTTTTTTTGGTTTTGTATGCTAAATTCGGGAATGGGAGCAAAAGTGCCAATTGGTCAGGAATGAAGTTCGTCCAATTTTGGGTCTTCTAATCTAGAATGACAGATCCATACCTATAGGGACCAATCAAAGATTAGGTAAAGGATTTGACAACTTTAAACTCGTTCCATAATGGTGATTCCTCCAATCAAACAGGTGGTAAATCTTTTAACTAGACAGCTACAAGTCTTTCAAGGTCAGAGAATAATTAACATAAAAAAAAATCTAAACACATAAAACTCAAATGAAATAAGGAGATGAATAATTCCAAGCCCTTTTTTTTTCAGAAGAGTTGTAGAACTCTACTCAAGAATTCTAAGGTTACATCAATTCAAAAACAAGACTCAAGCACCAAATTCAATTTAAATTTGGAAAAGGAAATAAGGGATTTCACCGTCCTCCTCAGGTATATTGTGGTGGTGGTGGTGGCGGCGGCATTCCAGTGACTTCTACAGCAGCAACTCCGGTGGTCTCAACTCCTCATGCGTTCCCCCTTCCTTTTTGCTCTGCTTTGCCCGAAAAGTTTATGGAATGGATGATTGGTGGAGTTTAATGCTTCTGATGATGGTGAATGATTGGAAATGATGAATGGTATATTGATTAGAACCAAGGAAAAGGAGGTTGATGAAGATGAATGATGGAGGACTAGTTCAACTTCCCACGGGTTCCCAATGATGGGTCGATGACCAATTTCTCTTTTCTGATCTTTGGTGAAGATGAATGATGCTCCGGCTGTCATAGTACTAGGTAGATAATAGCAGTAATACTCCCCGGTTCCCAAAGCCTCTTGGGAAAGTGTGTTTTTCAATACGGATAATTGCAGAAACCTACCCTGAGGTTTCTGACATTTACACTGACCTCCCCTGTAGTTTGAAAACTTACACCGATCTCCCCTGAGGTTACTAATCCTTTGCAAATTCAGTCCAAACTATTAAAATATTGTTTTAGAGAGTGAAATTAGAATTTTTTACCAAATTTGTCCTTTGTACTACATGTCCAATAAATGACAAAATACTACAAATCAATTAACAATTAATAAACTTTAAGTAGTATAGTTTATAGGCAAATACGCATTACATATTTAAAGTACCGGCTCTTTGTTGGTATTTTACTTTAAACATTTAATTTAATACAAATATTTACGCTCAAATACATATTTGTATTTACTTTCAAATATTTAATTTTTGTTAAATACGAAAACTACCAGTCTCTCTTCCGTAAAAATATTAATATAACACTTTTTCAATTTTAGTTACAAACATTTATGTATTTAACATAAATTAAATGATTCAGAATAAAATGCACATAAAGAGTGAATACTTTACTCGTGTAATGGATGAAAGTCATAAAGAATTAATACTTTATGGGCCATTTCTTTTTTTAAAAAAAAATTAATTTATATTAAATAAATAACCTACCGATTTCCTTTTTGCAAGAATATTACTGTAACACTTTTTGAATTTTACTTACAAACATTGATATATTTATCATAAATTAAATGTTTGAAAGTAAAATATCCGTAAAAAGCAGGTACTTTAAATGAGTAATGCGTGTTTGCCCATAAATTATACTCCTTAAAATTTATTAATTGTTAATGGGAATTTCGCCAATTTAGTCCCTAAACATTTTCACTTAAATCAATTTCGTCCTTCATGAAATATTTTAACCAATTTAGTCCTTGAATTAGTTTTTGACTTCCAATGTAGGACTTTTACTACATTTTACTCAATTCGCGTGGACCAACAGGGGTATAATTGTCACACTGACTTAATCTGCTGCAATTATTCGCCGAGGAGGAAGAGTCCCTAAACACTTTCCCTTTCACAAATAATATACTTGAACACTTTCCTTCATCAATTTCTTTAGTTCTTCTTGATCATTGCTCTGCATAGCCACAACCACAAAAATAACCAAATAAAATGAAGGTGACCACATAGACTCTCTCAACTTCAAATCCAGCAGCCAAAAAAAAATCTCTTTTAAAAGAAAATTTCTAATTTCACGGTAACAAGATTATACTAATACTCGGTTTTCTAATATTCAAAAGCTTAACTGTTAGTTTCAAACAGTAATTTCCACTTCCCAGTAAAGCCTACTATTTTGCTACTAAACTAAAATCTTCTTAAATCAAAAGAAAATAATGGAGAAATCCTTCGGAAGAAATTAAAATGTTGTACTACCTTGAGCGATGAAAATCCTTTGATGGACTCCGGCGAGGCATCGGAATGGGAACTCAAATGTAGATAATGCAAATGATGCCATTTGGTCATGTCGAAGCCTCGAGCGTCTCTGGTAACTAAACCAAGCCTTAAGGCACCTGCGCTTTGCATTTGTCCTGGCCCTCAACCTCACCCTGGCCTGAATTCTGCAAACATAGTTCACGCTTTTCGCTCAATGCTGAGACAATGGTGGGAAGCCTAGCAAGGTCCCATTCAAGAACCTTGCAAATTACCTGCCCATAAGCCCTATGAGCTCTCCTCTTCTTCGTCTTGGCTATTGAAATCGAATGCTGAACAAGAGCAACACAATCCTTAAAACTTCTTTCCAGCTAACTTTTTCCCCAAACCACCGCAAACTAAGCAATTAAATTCCCCATTATAATAATTCTTCTCATAATACTCCCTCAACTCCCTATCCTCTGTAAATACTTTAAAGAAAAACCAATACTCTTGCTCCTCCAGCGTATCATCATCATCATCATCCTCACTATCCTCCTTATCATCATCATCGCCAGACTTAAAAAATTCTTCAGTTATCTGCAAAGCCTTAAATTGAGCCTGACTGGCTGCAAGTTTGGGTTTTTCTGCAGAGGAGGGTAGAAGGGTCTGCGGACTCGACTACGGCCAGCTTGTTCCCCAGCCGGAGGTGGTGGCCGGAGGTGAATTACAAGTGCGATTGCAAGGCCATTCTTTTCCGGAAGCTGGAGAAGGCAATAGGGTTGTGTTCTGGGATTCTTGCAATTGTTTTCTATCGGAGTTCTTTCTGCCTTTTCTGTTTGCGGGTTTAATTCTTTCTTGCTTCTTGAATTGTATGGGATTGTGGGGGTGATGGAGAAGGCCAGATGCTGTGGGTTGTTGGGTTGCTCTCGTAGGCGGCCCCTGGTGCCATAACGAGTGGAGGTAAATCACCTCGTGCATCAATCTTCTTCCTCCTCGGCGAAAAATTGCAACAGATTAAGCCAGTGTGACAATTATACCCCTATTGGTCAACGCGAATTGAGTAAAATGCAGTAAAAAATCCTACATTGGAAGTAAAAAACTAGTTCAAGGATTAAATTGATTAAAATATTTCATGAATGACGAAATTGATTTAAGTGAAAATGTTTAGGGACCAAATTGGCGAAATTCCCATTGTTAATTGATTTATAGTACTTTGTCATTCATTGGATATGTAGCACAAAGGGCAAATCTAGTACAAAATTTTAATTTCACTCCCTAAAATAATATTTTAATCGTTTGGACTAAATTTGTAAAGGATTAGTAACCTTAGGGGAGGTCAGTGTAATTTTTCAAACTACAGGGGAAGTCAGTGCAAATGTCAGAAACCTCAGGGGAGGTTTCTGCAATTATCCCTTTTCAATAACATTGAACAACTTTTGCAAACTTTAATCCGTCCGCTATTGATTGCCCCTTTGTTTAAACAACCAAGTGGGACAACAAGACTACTATTGTTTTGTACTTTCAAAGCAGCAGATGCTCAGTTACATGTTGCAACTAGTGGAATACACGCACTAATATGAGATATTACATTATAAACTAGCAAAAGTTAAACACTAAATAAGTTAATAGGCCTTCAACAAAGGTTAGAAATGAAAATTCAAGGAAAAATAATTTGCCACATATATACAAGGTGATACCAATATTGGGATAGCTAAAGAAAAAGTACAACACCTTCTGTACGATACGACAGGATGGAGGGATTATTAGTGTATGGGGATAATTTCAGAAACCTTTCTTGAGGTTTTTAATAATTTCACTTAGTATGTTTGAAGTTTTAAAAATTACACATATCTCCTTTGAATTTACCATTTTGGTAATAAAAACTATTCAATGGTAAAAATTTTGAATGAATAATCCAAATTGCCCTCATGAAATTGTGAAGTTTATTTTACCTTCTTATGAAATTTTATTAAAAAAATATGAAATATGCACAAAATCTCAAACTCATTTTCAACCATCATCTCTACTATTTTAAATTTTTTATATTTCTACATCTCAAATTAGTACCATTATCATAATAACCACCGCTACCATCAATTCTTAAATTCTAAAATCTCAATCTAAGCTACAAAAGGAAAAAAATCAGTACTATTAAACTTAAAAAATGTCACTAACTGTATTAATATAGCATCCCATCTCTCAAATGTTGGAGTACCAATTCATGCCCGTTATATTTACATTTTCAGTTTACATCTTCTTCTATTCATCGTTAGATCTTTCAAGCCAAACTAAAATTAATTGGTAATATGTTAGAATTATTTTTAGGACATAATTAGTTATTCAATAAGTGACTTTTTTTGTTTTCATTAAATATTTAATTATGTGGTGCATTTCTATGCACAAGATTAGGAGCATATTGTTTAATTACATGAAAAATATTAATATATTAAAGTTGTTATGGTTAATGAGACGCCAGCGCATAAGATGAGAGTGACATGTGAGATGTGACTATGTGAGCCATTGTCTGGGGCATGGAAGGACGGAGGACCGTCACTTACAGCGGACAGGAAGGCCCACGGTGCATGCGGATATTATTTTACGAGGCAAAAGTCCAAAGAGGGAATCGCAGTTTGTTAGTTCATTGTCTAAACATTCTGTATAGTTTATTGGGCCATTGTTCACTGTATAGTTGTACACAATTTTTTTATCTTATCACTTTGAAAAAAATTAAAATAGTAGGATGTATTTAAGTTACAATACAATAACTCTACATCCATAAAATCAACCAATAGAAAAGGTCAGGCTATATTTGAAAGTCCATGCAACAATAAAGTTCGGGTACCAAATTTATTTTTGTCCAAAATTTGGGGACTAAAACCGCTCGTGCGTCAAAGTTTAGGTATCAAAATTGCATTTTTAGCCTTTTTTAATTCCATTTTAGCCGGACACGTGACTGTCACATGGCTTTATCCGGTAACAAATTGGGAAAAAATCGTCAAGGGTACTTAATGTGTTCAAAATTTGAAAGTTCGGGAACCAAATTTATTTTCATCCAAAATTTGAGGACTAAAACTGCTCGTGCGTCAAAGTTTAGGTACCAAAACTGCATTTTTCTCTAATTATTTATACCCCATGTGTTTAAGTAGCTATAGGTCAAAACTCAAAATACATCTTCTGTGGCTCGAGTAATAAGTACTTTCCAGGAAAGGGGAGCGATAGAATATACCATTATAGTAGTCAAAAGCGACGAATTCCCCTACTAATACTTTATGTACTGTGAATGATAGATATCCAACTGGGATTTTTTTGAAATGGAATGAATAAATTGGAAACGCCATTTCTTTTCAGACCGTTTCTGCATACCAAACATGGGAGATAATATGTTAACTCCGATCTAGCAACTCCACAATTTTCCAGGTCTTGTTAAACTTGCATCTAGGGGTGGACAAAATTATCCACTAATCCAAAAATTCACTATATCCGATTCGATTCGATTCAAAAATTAGGATACTTGATCTGTATTATTTGATCTGGTCAAAAAAGGGTCGAATACCCACTTAAACGTGGGACAGGTTAGGGTCACATAATTAAAAATTTGTAGGTACTCGACCCGTACCGCATATATATATTTTAATATTTTTAGAGTTAAACAAGCAATTCTATTGAACAAATTGTATTACAAATATGAGAGACTATAGTTTATTTACAAGATTCATTTGTAGATATCATGATCTTATGTTTTATAGAAAAGAGTTTAATTAATGTGAAACATAATATTTAAAAAAATGTGCTATTTATTTCAAACTTTTATTGATTTTGAATTCTTTTAATTTTTTAACCTTTTCTTGTATTCTCTTCGCATGATTATTTCTTGGTGGGAAACTTTTTTGAAAAAAAAAATCTTTATTAAATCTTAGATGAATGTGTAAACTCCAAAACTAAATTAGCATAAATCATTTTTTTAAAAAAATTAAATGATAAGTGGGATGGGGTGGGTACTTGTTGACCCGATTTTATTTCAGCGGGTACCCTATAACGCGGTACTCGCTGATATGCGAAGCAAGTAAGAGTTAGAAAATAGTTGATCTGCAAAATACGAGTTGGATCAGCTAAATGGTACACCGGATGGGTACTCGACTCGTGCCCGTACCCTCCCCGTGCACACCCCTACTTGCATGTTTTGCTTCCCATCCTCAAGCCTTGCAAATCTGACACATACATATGAAGCTTAACCTAAACGCCCTTTCTAACCCTTGGATCATAATATAGCCTACCTAGCAGGTCTGCCATAAGGTTGGACACGGTCTACCACGGAAGCCGATGAAGATTTATATACTGAATACAACTACTCTGATCAGCCTGCGTATACCGCCCAAAAGCTCATTGACAAAATGCACCATACTTTCTTAAGCCTCTTTAGGTTAATCATTGTTTAATTAGGACACTCTAACCCATGGTGGCCTCTCCCCGCCCTCCCTAGTTCCTTCCCTACATCCAACATATGCTCTCTTTGTCGATAAATTAATTGTTAAATTCGTCGTACTACAATGGTGGAAAACACCAATGACATTTTCTAGTGAAAAATAATTTTTGATGATTAGGACAGCTGAAACTGCTAGAAAATATTTTGTATATATATATATATATATATATATATATATATATATATATATATATATATATATATATATCAAAACCAAGCTTTACTAGTTAGGTTGCTTTTCATATCAAATATTTAGAGCTTGAATCCAAAACTTTACCATGTGTGAGAGGTCATATCTAGGGGATTAGCTATGCCCTTCATCCTTTACTGGCCAGGCAAATTCTATATTTCAGCATGATTATTGAATCAGGAAACTAAAATTCAATCCCTACCAAGTGCAGGCAGAGGGGATGGAAGAGCCAATCAATACACAAACAGCAATAGATTGATGATATTCTTAAATTAAAGAATTTTTAACAAATGGTTCAAGATGTCTTAATAGAAATGTTTTCAAATATTAAGTTCAAAGTCTAACCAGTAGAGACATCTGTGGCTCAGCAGGTGCGAGATAATTGAAAATTAATTGATGATGCATTAACCTTTTCTTACTAAACTCTCTCATGATCAATGGTAGAGGTAAAAACATCATCATCATCATCATCATCTTAAACTTGTTCAAATTGTTCAATCATCATCTTCACAATCAGTACTGTCACCAGCTGCAAGACCTTATGTTGAAATTTAAGCCATAAAGAATATTGATTTGATGCACATAAATTTCGTGTCAGCATGTTATTTACTAGAGATTTTGATGTGATTGTAGTTTTGTTTGGATTTATCTTTTTAAAAGACAAAACAAGAAAGTCTCGTCATATAGCTTTGTTTGGATTGGGCTTTATTTCTCAAAATTTATTTGTTTACATCATCATTACAATTTCCAATGCACCTTTTTACCTTCCCAATTACCTTTTTATCTCACATACATCACATCACAAAAAGTGCTACAGTAAAAATATCTCTAATAATTCACAATCCAAACAGACATCATGATTCTCCACCTTTTCTTCAACTCACGATTTAATTGGCTCTGTTTGGTTATCAATATTTGTTAAAAAAAAAATATTCCGAAGTTTGTTCTACGCATTTCATAAACACAATTTTCAACTACTTTTTTTTTTATTTCACATTCATTATATCACAAAAAGTGTTGCAGTATTATTTCAGATAATTTTTTTCCAAATAATCTCCTATCCAAACATATAATTAGGACTGTCAATGGGGCTGGGCCAACCCGAGCTTGTCTCGTTCGGCCTGACAAAATGCCCGATGAGTCCGATCTTTTAGTGAGCCGGTCTGAGTTTGAGCCTGAAAATTATGCCCGAATTAAATATGAGCTGAGCTTAGGCCTTATTATGCTCAAACCCGATATAGGCCCGGCCCTTTAATTACCTATATATACAATATTTATATTTTGATATTATATATTATTATATATCCATATATATTATTATTAAATACTAAATATATATAAATTACAAAATACAAAAATACATCTAAAAACTTTTTCATGAGTTTTCGTGAGAGCCAATATTAGTAATGCATAACTGAATCTTTAACTTTTCTTATTGGTTAAGTAAATTTTTGTGTTGGCATAATATTGGTTGATTTCTTTTTGGTCTACAAACACAAATCATCAAGCATGTTTGAATTCAAATCACAAGATTATAAAAAGGTTTTAACTTTTAAAGATGTATTGGCTTATGATCGCATGTTTTATTACTATTTTTCATGTATTTTGAACTAATTAAATATAAATATTGTTGAAAATTTGTTGGCTTATATACTTTTTAAGAACTATTATTTGTTCATATTTAGTTTTAATATTATAGTCTTGTAAATGTTAAACTAGTTTTACAATTTAATAATTATAGTAATTGTATTAAGAAAATTAAGGAGTAATAAGTGAGTTTGGGGTAAACCCGATTAAGGCTCACAACCCGAATATTAGGTGAGTTGAGTATAAACTTCATATTTATGAACCCGAAACTTATAGGCGGAAACCCGAAAATGTTCCAAATTAAATGAGTTGAGTTTAAACTTATGAAAGTCCGACTCATTAGACCCGATTGATAGGCCTACGTATAGTCACACATCTTACCGTGAAATATTCTTAGATTGAAAAATATAGCATAGTCATCAAATTTTACAGTGAAATATTTTTAGATTGAAGTTCAAATCATTGGATCAGATCATCACACCTAATATAGAGGTACAATTATTGGTAGATGGACATTGACATATATAAAGAAAATAAAGAAAACAAAGAAAACAACTTAAACTTTTTTAAATTGGGACAAATATTGTCGCCATCACATTATCCGTATTCCAATTCGCAGACATTTTGCTCAATGCTCAACATTGCAAACTGCAAAGGACGTGGAATCTTTTGCTTCTCCTTGTGAATTGTGATGTCAATCGGTTTAATGATTAACCATTAAAGAAATACAATGTTCAAACAACTTCTATTTTTTTTATCCATATTATAATTGGTCACCATTAATTAGTTTCTCCACCTGCACTACCTGTTAATTATTCATGCTTAGATTATAATTACGTATCATACGTTTGATTCATGTACCATGTGACATTTATACAGCAGGAATCTTACTCCCTCTATCTTATAAAATTTATTATATTTATTACTTGTTTTTACCTCAAATTAATTATCATCTTAAAAAAATTAATTTATATTTGTTATTGTACATAAATTACATGTTCTTTCAAAAAAATGACAAATTTGATGAGACGGAGGAAGCGTATTGTATTATAAAAATATTATATATATAAATAAATAAACATTAATATATAGAAACAGAGCCAATATATATTTAAAATGAATCTCAACAAAATTTTAAATTATAAAAATATTCAAAAATATATTTTAAAAATATCTCTAAAAACAATCCAAAAACATTTACAGTAAAAATTTTTCATATATAAATCTACAGTAAAATTTTTAAAAATCACCTCTGAAAACAGCTAATCCAAACGAAACCGATTCAATAGCTGGCTTGCAGAGATTTGGCATAACAATATGATAGCTACTTTTTCATTCGGTTCAGATGGGATGTGCATGTGCTCTAGGCCAAGGCAGCAGGGCAATGCCAAGGCGGCACGCGAGAGCACCACTAGCAAGCTACTGTATTGGACCCTTCCCTTAGAAAAATTAATTTAATATCACCGATGGCCACGTCTCAGATATTAAACTAATAAGAACAGACACAGCACTCGACCTTAGCCGAAAGGCAGAGAAAGGTGATATGATAGTGTTTTATAATCAAGGATCAGGAAAATTGATGGGAACTTTGGCTTGGGCTTGGCAATCAGACTCCACGTGTTGCGTTTTGACAAGTTCAAATTTGATTCATAAAATAAATAAAATTTTTGGACTTTTCGGTCTGAGCCCGTATTAGAAGGTTTAGGCTCCGGCTCCACTCAAACTTTAATACGACATTCGAGTTCAAATGGGACTCAGCCTAGGCTCGTAATTCAATACATAATTATATACACTATATGTCTAATATTTATGAATTATTATAAATTTATATATAAATTATTAATATCTTATGTTATAATATGTGTGAATATATTATTTTGGACTTGACAATTGAAAATAGAAAGGAAGTAAGGAGTGGTTGGATAAAAAAAATGGGCTTCTTTCGATCGAGCGAGCTAGTTTCGAACTAGCTTGACTCCATTGACAGTCTTACTTTTGCATGCAAAAGCATTATACATGTAAAAAATTGCAACATGTGCAACTTTGTTGGTTTTGTAAATAAATTTCTAAGGGTCGATTGGTCCGGCATCTATCCTATTATTGATTTAGTTGATCCAATCTACAACTTTTTACACAAATTTGCCCCTCTTAGTAATGATAACTAGTGAGTAAGGCAAGCCCAATATGTGTGCAATTAACAAAAAATAATTTTATAAAAATTACCTTGATGAAAAAAAGAAATAAAAAAATCATAAAAGCATAATACTGAAAATTTATAATGAGTGAGGAAGATATAATGAAGCTTTTTGTGAATAACTAGAGAAGTATAAGTGGGGTGCACTTGTGTAAAAAATGAAAAATCTTTTTGTAGTTGTTTAGATAACCCAATTTTAATATTTCTTTTTTGGTTGGGCGTGGATAAGTTGTTTGGATAAAGTCATTGAATTTTAATTTTAATTTTCGGTCTGATTGGGTCCATTTCACCTAACAATTGAGGGCATAGAAGGAAGTTCATAAAGATACAACAATGTGTTAACATCACACAGTGATATCTCACTTTATATATTGTAATAATAGATGTTGGTTCGCCTCTCTTGGGTAGTTCGTTTGGTCACGATAGCCCCTTGGAAGTCGTTGTCCAACTCTTCAACCAGGGATCGAGTCTCAGGGATACCGTGTTCGGGGGGAAGGGGCCTCTCCTCCCGGGCCGAAGTGGGATTAGTTGGGCTCCATAAGGATTGACCTGGACACCCCCTCCGTCAGCAAAAAAAAAAAAAAAATAATAATAGATGTTGGTTCACTGGCAGTTAGTAGAATGAGGTCCAAACTAACGATATCCGGTTATCCGTTCATATCAAATTACATCTAAAACTAGATAGAAAACACTTTTAGAAAGAATTGATAGCAAGTGGTTTTAATAAGAAAAAATAATTAGGTGTAAGGTTGTACAAAAATAATTTTATATACGAAAAATTATTGCTTCAATTACTGTAAAGTAAATAAATCAATTACGGTGAGATTTAGCTACTCTAAAAAAAGAAAGAAAGAAATTTTATTAACAAGACAATTGTAACGTTGTACAAAATCATTGAAGGAAGGTATTACGGCAACAGACATCGCCTAAGGGAAACCAATAAGCATGATTCAGGATTAATTGGTTTACCATGAATGACAACTATACGATTATCACCTAAACTGTCTATTAAGAAACTTAGAATATGTGTAATAGGGTTATCCTTCTTTTCTTCTTCTCTCTTCCTGCTCTCTAGAAAATACTATTTAACTAAAACTTCCTTCAATTCCTTCCTTACAAGAGAAGCCCTCTCTATAGTTTCTTTTTATTTGTGTAAATAAAATTCCTCTTACGATTTTCTAGTGAGAGTTTTTTCTCTCCCTAGAATTGTCTAGTGAGAATTTCCTTTCTCCTAAGTTTTTTAGTGAGTTTTATTCTCTCCTAAGGATTCCTAGTGAGAGTTTTTTACAATTTTTTTATTTTTCTTTTATTAGATTTGAGTTTTATCAGATTTTGATTATCAGATCTGGAATTTCTTGGATCTATTTGACAGATCTCACCATAATATCTGGACTTAAAATAGTTATTTTTAAATCGGTAGTTATTTGATCTTATTTTTTAAATTTGGAGCTTTATAATATAATTTTTATTATTTTTTAGATCGGTAGTATCCTTTTTTCAGCTATATTCTTTGATATATGTGTATGTTTGATGATGTAATTTCTCCCATTAGTGTGGATTTTAATGAAATTATGATATTTTATCAAGAAAAAAAGTTTTATGTTGTGATACTATTGCGACAAAGCACGAGATATTGGACTTAACATGTGGAGACAATAAAATATCTTATTTTATAAATTTTATAAACACTTTTTTTTATATAAAATATCATAATTTCTTTAAAATTTGCATAATTTCACTAAAATCTGCACTAATGACAGAAATTACATCATCAAATAAACACAGATATCAAAGAATATATCTGAAAAAAGGATACTCCAAATCTAAAGAATAATAAAAATTACATTGTAAAACTCCAAATTTAAAAAATACGATAAAATAATTGTAGTTCTACGAACATCTGTGCGTGCTTCCAATTGCCAGATCTGTTGATTAATTGTTTCAAGTCCAGATATTATGGTAAGATTTGCCGAATAGATTCAAAAAATTTCAAATCTGATAATCAAAATCTAAAAAAACTCAGATCTAATAAAAGAAAAATGAAAAAAATTATCAAAAACTCTCAGAATCCCTAAGAGAGAATAAAACTCTCACTGAAAAATTTAGGAGAGAAAAAACTCTCACTAGATAATCCTAAGGAGAGAAGAAACTCTCATTAGAAAAATCTTAGACGAGATATTATTCACACAAATAAAAAGAAACTATAGAAAGGGCTCCTCTCACCGAAAAGATCAGAAAAATCTAATCTCGCTCTCATGGAGAGTTGAAGGGAGTTTTAGTTAGGCAGTTTTTTTAGAGAGAAGAAAGAGAGGAGGAGGAGAGAAGGAAGATTGAAAACTAGGTGACAGCATAAAACACGTCAATTACGAATTAGCACTGCACAGATGCATAAAAAGCTACCAAAACTAGCAAGATAATTATGGTTTCTTGACTAAAGTCTTTAATCACCAGACACTTGGTCCCCTTAATCTCTTTTTTTGACCTTGGTTGCGCTTCTTTTTTGCTTTGTCTAAACTCTCAAATCTCAACTCACCGCAACAATTAAATCCACTTTATATAGCGTCCACCATTAATTGAGAAGATCAACGAAGTTGCTGCTTCTTCATAATTAACCCCATCACTTATCAGCCATCCTCGTAGTTATCGTTAATGCCGTATTATCTTTCTACTTTTTATTTCTAGATGTTGATTAATGTTCAATCTTTCATAATTAGCTGTTAAATTTTTCAAGTTATGTTAATTGTATATGTAGATAAGACCATTGTACTATTGTTTATTTGCAGAGAAAGGTGTTGCTTATTACTGCTGCTGGTGATAGATGATGTTAATGAATTTTACTCAGAAAGATGGCTGCAAAAGAAAGAAGCACAACCAAGGCTGTGATCTGCCTCCAAGTAATCATCATAGTCATGGCAGTTCATGCAGTTTACCAATTTCAATAGAACTAGTATTTTGACCCGTGCTATGCACGGGGTTATATTTCAAATCAAAATAATATTGTATATATTTATATATTGTGGTAAAAAATAATAAATATAAATATAGACTAAAAATTTTAAAGAAGTGTATGCTTAATATTTTGAAAAAAAATTTAATCTATAATGATTTACATGATAAAAGAATTGTTAACGTATTTAAGGAGAGGGTTAGGTTGGGTGGTAAGGTGATAAGAGTTTTCTAAAAAAAAGTCAATTTATCAATATCCAACAAAACATATTATATTATATCCATATATCAAAACTTATAATATAAAAAAATAAATTATAACTAATTTAGTTTCTTCCATTTTTAGAAAAAAATCTTTCTCCTATCTTGTGCCGCTAAAATTGTTGATTGCATTTAGATTAGCATTTTTCATAAACTTTAACGTATATTTTTTTAAAAAAATCTCAGTAATATATGTTTTTAGAGTTTTCAAAATTATTAAAAATCACCACCATTTCTCTCTTCTCTTATCCGCCAGCTAGTCATCAGATGTCTCTTACGACTTTCATATCTTCTATCATGGTACCACTCTCTCTATTATTTTTTTGTTGTCATCTTTGTCATATCCCTGCAATTCCTTTTTTTCTTCTCTCCTTTCTCCGCCCATCCTTGTAACCCATATTTCTTCTTTAACCTTTCCTGCTACTTTTCAACTCCTCACCATTTTCTTCCCTCCCTCATCCCCCTATACATAACCTCTAAATTCATATCCCTGCGACCCAATATATTTAACTTTACCTATCATAATTAAAATATAAAATTAAAAATTACAATGGTTGCAATTATTAGTATCTAAAAATGGGAATGAAAAACTGATAATATCTATAATATCCTCAAGTACTACAATCAATATATATATATATATATTTAACATAGCAAATACATATTTACATATGAAGACAGCAATAACAAATACATAAAATAATTAATAATACCAAAAGTTATCCTTAGTGTTTGGGTTTTGCACTCTTATTCAAATCTAATGTCAAATTTGGGCTAGATATATACAAATTAAGTAGTATTTTAGGATTGAATGTTCTATATCTTTCTCTTAAACTATAATGTTACTTTTTCTAAAAATTTTTGGCAGAATTGGTGTTGTTATTATCATTGTTGTTTTTATCAAAAATGAATATTTCAAAAAAAAATTTCCACGTTAAAAGGCTAGTAATACTTTGTTTTTTATTTAGTGATTTCATAATTTGGATTTCATGAATGGTACCATTCTTGATTTTTTAAATCCACGATATTATTTCCTTTTTGTTTTCTATTTAATTTTGCCCTTTTACTTAGGATTACTAAGTTAAAAGATAAAATATTATCATTTACTTTTTAACTTTTACTAAGTTTGGTAATGTTTTCT